GCGCCACCATTGGACCCTCGTAAAATATTGCTTCTTTCACCGCACTTAAAACTGGGCCTTGTGAAACAATTCGTCAGAGTTCTAGATTAGGAGAGTGCAGCCTTGAAGTACCTTCAAGACTTCATCTGAAAGATGTATGCGTTAAATTTCAAAGCTGGTGCGTTCGTCGAACTAAAAGTAATTACCCAAGAATCTTGCTAGGAAGAAAGCAGCGTGGAACAGATTTGTCGCAATGCTTCCGGGCTTTATGGGGAATCACAAGGCCGAAAACAGGAACGTGATGAAATAAGAACTACAGTAAAATAGGCAGCAGGTTGTCCCTCAGTCCATATCCTTGAGTCACGTCTTGAAAAATCCAAGGAGAACATAGGCGCAAATCAGAGGAACAAGTCAAGCTCCTTAACCAGTATATACTGAATTTAGAAGGCCGCTACTAAATGTTGTCTAATGAAACGTAAATCGTAAAAAATAAAACAACAAAAAACTACTCACTATGTGTGGTCTCTCTTGTATAATAAGAATAGATAACTGCTACTTTTGCGAAAAAGAAAACGTTCACATCCGCCATTTATCCCAATGCGAATAGGCAAATTTTCTGAGATATCATTATTCTGGTCAGAGAAGTAAAGTCTGAAGGAAATATTAGCCATTCCTCATATTTTCTAGGCGTAAGCAAATCGGAAATAGCAGTTGCTAACCAGAGACAACAATTACATTACACAGTGTAAGCAACGCGACAAAATGAGGGAAATGCAACCAGCGTAAATGGAATGCAAGTTAAAAGAGACCTGCATAATGGGGTGCGTCTTTATCTAAAATTTTTGCAACAGACCGATTAATCAAATATACTGGTAGGCGTCCATGTGTTTTTAACCTGACGACCGTCAAAATATGCTTAAACATTTTTAAACACTGAATGGCAAAATGAAGATTAAAATTCAGATTTCAGAATTCACCGGACAGAATTATCTGAGTCGTTTTAGCATTTGGCTTACGCAATTTAATACACAACGTGATACTTTGAAACGTAGCAAAATACTAGTGACATTTAACCAGTAAAAGTATTAATATAGTAACGACTCACATTGTGTCTTATTTTTCATTTCTTTTGCTTTACTGGAAATCATACGATTCTTGAAAATGTTTTTTAAAAATTGGAAAATAATTTTGATTAATAATATTAATAATATAAAAACCGAATGATGATTAATAAAGAAGCCGAAGTTTTTATTCTTGCTGCACAGGACCAATGGTTGCTAACTAGAAAATACTAAACACATGTAGTGAAATTGTGTTGACAAAAGAGCTTTAATTGGACCGTAGCTGGCATTAAGACAATGAACGCCAAAACAAGAAAACTTCACACTTTCCACCGCATGTACCATCTTAAGGCTGATGTTGAACGTTTCCATGTGTCAAGATCCGAAAGAGTAAGAGGATTAGTTCAACTAGAACTGTCTTACAAAACAATCGGTCTTCAAAGATACCTAGAAACTACAGAAGAATAGATGATGATCTATGTTAAAGAATATGAAAGAAATAAGACACTTTATTGAGTAAGGAAGGAAGACAACAAATTCAAAATGGAATTTCAAGGGGATTAAGAAGTGCAAGTAAACCATAATAACTTAATACAGCAGAAGAAAAAGAAAAGAAAGCAAAAGCAAATGTCATGAACTAAATGCAGAAACGATGATAATATAAGCCTCTCATGATGCCATTTCTAACCTAAAAGGAGATGGAATACACCATACTCAAATGAAGGAGAAAGTAAGAAAAATTCTACAGGCGTGTGCGTCTCGTGTTAATTGCAGATTTGAATTGCCGAAAAAGAATATCAGCCATAGAACTTTGTCTGTCTCTGTAATGCATACGGTTTCAACATCCTTAACTATAACATATCAAAACGAGAAAGTTCCTCAATTGCTACCACATGCATCATCCTAAGGCTGATGTTGATCGTCTCTATGTGCCCAGATCCGAAGGAGGAAGAGGATTACTTCAACAAGAAATGTCTTCCAAAAAACACAACATTCGGTCTTTAACAATTTTCTTCTTCTTCTTCTTCTTCTTCTTCTTCTTCTTCTTATTATTATTATTATTATTATTAAAAAATATAATAATTTTATTGTGAGAGAGTGGCATGTCCAAAATGTAGCCTTAAAAGACCTGTCATGTTGCCAATACTTGGTAAATGCATCACAGCAAAATATACTATTTTATTTCTATACACTATATTCTCGAGATATTTTTTATCCACACCCAGCCACATTAATGTGGCCGGGTGTGGATTTAAATATATGGAACCGGAGCAAGAAGAAGCCTATAACTACCTCGAAATTGGAGTAGGAGAAGAAATCCAGCATAACCAAATGAAAGAGAAAACAAGAAAAGAATACTAGAGGAATGTGCGTCTGGTGTTAAATACCGAGTTGAATTCACAAAACAGAATATCTGCCATAAACACTCTGGCTCTCATTGTCGTGAAATATAGATCCAACATCGTTAACAAGACCACAGCAGCCATTAAGTGAACGGATGTCAAAACGAGAAATCCTCTCGCCACCACATGTATCATCACAAGGAAGATCGTCTGTATGTTTGTATATCCGTAAGAAACGGAGGATTACTTCAGCAACAAAACCATAACAATCGTAAGCTGTAGAAGATTGGATGATGACCTGTGTTAAAGAATATGAAAGAAATAAGAAACTTTATTCAGTAAGGAATGAAGACAACAAATTCAAAATGGAATTTCAAGAGAGTTAAGAAGTGAAAGTAAACCATAATACACTTATGGCAGCAGCAAAAAGACTAAAAAGCGAAGCAAAAGCAAATGCAATGAACTAACTGCAGAAACAATGGTAATATAAGCATCTCATGAAGCCATTTCTAAACTTAGATCTCGTGTTGGGCCCGGAAAGAAATGTATATACAACAGAAATAAAAGGAAATAATAATAATAATAATAATAATAATAATAATAATAATAATCAATGTGGCTGTGTGTAGATTTAAATATATGGAACTGGCACAAGAAGAAGTCTGTAACTATCTCGGAATCGGTGAAGGAGATAAAATCAGGAATAATCAAATGAGGGAGAAAATAAGAATACTAGAGGAATGTGCGTCTGGTGTTAAATGCCGAGCTGAATTCACAAAACAGACTATCTGCCATAAACACTATGTCATTGTCGTGAAATATAAATACAACATCGTTAACAAGACCACAGCAGCCATTAAATGAACGGATGTCAAAACGAGAAATCCTCTCGCCACCGCATGTATCATCACAAGGAAGATGTTGATCGTCTGTATGTGTCCATATCCGCAAGAAACGGAAGATTATTTCAACAAAACCATAACGATCGTTCTTCAAAGATACCTGAAAACTGTCGAAGACAGGATGATGACCTGTGTTAAAGAATATGAAAGAAATAAGAAACTTTATTCAGTAAGAAAGCGATGCAAGAAATGGAATTTCAAATGGATGAAGAAATGCAAATAAACCATATAACAACTACTGCAACGGCAAAGAATCTAAAAAGAAAGCAAATGCAATGCACCAAACGCAGAAACGATGGCAAGATACGCCTCTTCATTGTCAATACTCTGCAAGTGCCAAGCTGATGTAGATAACCCCCCTACTCATCAGTGGCTATGTACTGCAGCGTTAAGAGCTGAAACCAAGGGTTTTTTATGCTTGCTAACTAGACATTCCCAAGTATACACACTGAAACATTGTGTTAACCCCAAAATGCAAATTCTGTGATAAATATCCAGAAAGAATTGACTATCTTGTATCAGGTTGCATGGTATTAGCACCAACTGAATATAAAACCCGACATGACAGTGAGGGACAATATCTGCACGGGAGAGTTTGCAACTTTTACTGGAAGGATACTTCAAGAAACTGGTATTAACATCTACCTGGCCGGGTTACAGACTTAGGACCTGTATGAATTTTATAGGACTTTACAACGCACACACAGAGAACGATGAAACCTAATGGTTCAAACACCGTGATCAAAGACCACAAGCACAGAAGTGCTTTATTACTGACATGGTAGTCCCTGCAAATTGTAAGATCTTCAAAAATAACAATAAAAATACAAGGATATTGAAGCTGAAATTTTAAAGAATTTGGCTCATGAGGGCATCAATAATTCTAGTTGTTGTCCTCGGATTGATTGGGAAAGGTTCCAATAGATTCATTCCTGGAAGTCCATGCCCTAATGAAACGTAAAAAAATGTATTCACAATTACAGTTTACGCATTACGAAGAGTTTTATCTATATACAACATGCGATCTTAGATGAGAGATTATTTTTTTTTTATGTTTTTAAAAAAAAAATTATCAGTGGAAAATATATTAAAACAATTTCTGACCTTAGGTCACTGGTTTGCACCCGGAAAAAATGCGTATACTGCAGAAACTCTAGAAAATAATAATAATAATAATAATAATAATAATAATAATAAACATATTTGGAAATATTTTGAATACCGTTGAAATAAATAACATTTTGTTGAATAAATTAATTTATCGACCCAAATAAATAAATTCTATTTCTGACAAATAAGAAAAACAGTTTTTAAGCAATTGAATAATTTATAAATATAATTTAATATAGCTATATGCATATTTCGTCACTTTTTAAATTCCTAGCCAGCTTTGGCGCCAATTCTTTCATTGTTTCGATGACAAGTAATATAATAAAATATATGAAGCATACGAACAATATATCCCAAGCGGGGATGGCTGGGAAAAATAGCTGCGTCATTTAACGGTCAGAGCCAAGTATTGAAAACACGCATAAATGAAAACAAAGAGTAATTTAAGATTAATGAGAACATTAAGTTACGTATTTATTGGTTAGGGGTCATTTGATCGTGAATATTGAGATAAAAAAACAAAAAACAAAAAAAAAACAAGAATAATCTAAAGAAAATCCTACGCTAAGATTAATAATGAAAACACATTTTTAGCTCTCGAAGGCTTACGGCCATATCACATTGAAACACTAGTTCCCGTTCGATCATTAACGTTAAGCAACGTCGACCCTGGTCAGTAGCTAGAGAGGGACCGCTTGTGAATACCAGATGCTGTAAGCCAGTATGTGCGGGTGGTGCAATGGATAATGGCTCGGAAACTATAAATGACACGTGTTTGGCTCTAACAGCTCAGTGGGGGAAAATGGTTAGTCACACGTAATACCTCAAAACAACCAGCAAACAAGTGGCCTTACACCTTCGCCTATCGGATCCAAAACATTCGCTGATTGGACTCAGAACTTTCGTCGATCGGTCCCAGAATTTTAATCGGGATGAATGGACGCTTCCTCGAGTAGACCCCTTGCCTTGACCGTATATTGGGACTTAAACTCAACACAGACCTCAAGTGGAACTCGTACATAACATCCATCGCTAAAGATGTTGTGAAACTGTCCGTCCCATGTACCGCTCCAGTGGATGAAAAACTGCAAATAAACAATAATACACCTACTGCAGAAAAGAAAGCAACCGCAAATAAAATGCACCAAATGCAGAAACAATTGCAAGATAAACCTTTTCATGGTTAATACACTTCCCTTACAAAACAATCTTATGAAGACAATCCCGGCACCCATCAGGAGTTACGTAATACAGGGTTAAATGCTGAAACTTAGGGTTTTATTCTTGCTACACATTTCCAATGATTGCTGACTAGAAATTACCAAGCACACAGACAGAATAATTGCGTTAACACGAAATACAAATTCTGGGATAAATATCCAGAGACTGAACCATCTCGCATCAGGCTGTACAGTGTAAGCAGCTACTGAATATAAAACTCGACATGACAGATTGGACTAATATCAAAAGTGAATTTCAAGTGCGTGGAGAAGTACAAAAAACCTATAATGCAACTACTGCAGCGGCAAAGTACCTAAAAAAGAAAACAGATGCAATGTACCAAATGCAGAAACGATGGCAGGATAAAACTTTTGTCAGTACCAAACAAGCTGATCTAGACAAGACCAGTACCTATCAGTGGTGACGTAGTGAAAGGTTAAAAGCTGAAACTGAACGTTTTATTCTTGCTGAAAAATAGTGTTGACCCCCAAATTCAGATTCGGTGATAAATATCAAGTACCTGACTTCTCGTGCTATCATCTAACTTTATAAGTACAAGATCAGACTGAAAATAGAGTACTGCTACCATATTTGGGCAGGATCTGCCCAATCTTCATTTTTTGTTGCGATCGATTCCAATAGAATGTCTGCGTCCTTGTGGGTGACAAATTATTTTTCACATTGCAACCTCTCTCTCTCAGACGAGATGTCTCACTACTTTATCGCTACTTCCATGGATAATGGTCAGACAAACTACATTCATATTGTAGCGAAAAACCCTTATTTCTTCTATATTAAACTCGTTCTACTCAAGCAGGTTCTACAGGCGAATCACTGCCATGTGGAAACGACTCCCAAGTTGATGTTTTACCGATCACTACAATAATAACCATTTCAAGTCTCATGTTAAACGGTATCTTAACCTATGTCAGCATAAACTGTACTTCTTACTCTGTAACGCCCTACCAGGAGTGGCTCCCGAGACTTGTACAGGGTTAACCTCATTGTAATATATATATATATATATATATATATATATATATACACACACACACATATATATATATATATATATATATATATATATATATATATATATATATATATATATATATATATACTGCAGATACTAATACTGCGATCTAATTTTTAAAGCTAATTCTAAGGTTGATCGCATCATACACAAAATATAAAATTAGGGTATGTACTGTTAACCCTGGCTACATCGTTGCCCAAACTATATATATATATATATATATATATATATATATATATATATATATATATATATATATATATAAAAACTGAACATTGAACTCAACACTTAGAGGCGACAAGATGTTACATGCAAGACGCAATCGTCAGGCCAATCGTCGCTTCTAAGTGTTGACTTCACTTTTATATTTACACACGCTCTGTCTCTGATATTGAGCACTTTTCCCATAAATATAGCACACCTTAAGGGTATACATATATGCATATATATATATATATATATATATATATATATATATATACTTTACTGTAGTAAAAATGTACAGCTGTAATTAAAATAACGCAATTTTGCTAAAACTGATGTTTTACTTAACTGTATCCAAAAATAATGCATATCATATTCACATATTAATATCCTTTTATAAAATACAAACGTAGCGACTATGAAGACATTGTTTACGTTTATATGATGTTTAGCTGTTTCTCGTTCGGTTGTTTATGGCTGTACGTGTTTACGCAACGAGTATAGCGTTACTAACGATACTTTTATCATTCTCATTTACTTTTTTAAATTATTTAACTAGAAGATGGGATAAAGAGATAAAGAAAAAGCGGTTTAGTCTATCGTTATTTGGTCTCTCAAAAAAGGAACTCACAAGATACACGAGATACATAATAAAATCATTTTTTCTTAGTGAAAAATTTGGAGGTCGCACGATACGCCAGATCGCTCGTTGCACTAGTATATGAGGTAAGTCATTCTACAAGCGTCGATTGTCATGGAAAAGAAAATGTCGGTACTGTTAATGAAAGCAACAAGGGGATGAAAAGCAGCCAGCGGGAATTGAATGCAACTGGTAATTCATGAGAATTTGTCTGGTGAACTTTCCAATATCGTACCCAGATTTTTTGAATTTAAGCGCCGTACTTGATTGGCGGCAAGGTCCCATCATTTTGCGTTTAAAATGACTAGATGTAAACCGTAAGTTCTATGCGAACGGTTGTTTCTAACAGATTACTCGATTGTAACAATCTCTTCCTTCTTTGATCTTTAAAACTTTAAATGCAATGTCAATTGTTATCTACTGTCTACGTCTAATCTTTTTCTTTTTTCTTGTTATTGTTTTTTTCTCGTATTTCCTAACACTATTGTGTCTCAGTGGCTTTAGTCCCTTGTTTAGGATAATCTTGTTCTTTTATTGTCCACTCTCTTTAATAATATTTTTCTTTTTCTTATATTATTTGACACTTAGTATCCGCTCTGCGTCCTAGTTGCTTTATTGCTTTTATTTTTGGTGAAATGATTAAAAGGAAATTACACAAGCCGCATAGATAGGCTAGTTGATATTTACCTGTTATTTTTCCTCATATTCTCTAGCACTCAGTAACCACTTACTTCTCAGATGGTTTATTGGCTTGCCTGGGGTGAAAAGATTAAATAAAATGCAAAACCAATCGCCATCTTCTGGCTTCCTGAAATCTGTTCTTTTATTACCCTTTCTTTTCATTCTCGTCCACTCTTTGTGTACAAGTGGCATTATCGCCTCGTCTGGGGTGAAATAATAATAGCAACCCCCCCAAAAAAAACAAAACAAAAAAGAAACCAAACTGAAACGTAAGCAATATGATAGAGCCAGACCTCATTTTGAAATATTCACACTGCTGATTCGTTAATAAGAAGAATTAATGGAATTAATGGATTAGGATAAATCATAAAGAACTCCTATATTCAAATACAATTTGAATTTAAGTGCCGTACTAGATTGGCGGCAATGTGTAACAAGTATATCTTCAGTAACGATGCTTTATCATTCTCTTTTCCATTTTTAACTTATTTAACTAGAAGATGGGATGAAGAGAAGAGGTTTAGTCTATCGTAATTTGGTCTCTCAAAAAAAAAGGAACTCGCATGATACAGGAGATACATGATAAAATCATTTTTTTATAAGTGAAAAAGAAAGATGGCGCGTTACACGAGTATATAGAGTAAATATATATATATTTTAAGTTGTTAAAATCGAATATTTAACAAATATTTTATTGTCATAGAACTCGCCATGAGCTCATTCAATCATTACATTGAGAAAATTCATCCGAAAATTCGGAAAGGAAAACCGGGAAATTTTTCATGAGTCTTTTTAGTGAAAGATGGCGGAGGGATTTCAAATCAGAAACTTGTGATACAAAGGAAGAATAAGCAAAAAAAATAAATAAAATAAAATAAAATAAAATAAAAAAGATAAAGAAAGAAAAAAATAGAAATTATAAAAGCAAGTTATTTTTCATTGTAAGAAATTCAATGTTGTTACTACGTATTAAATAAAACAAAGCAATATGGCGGAACGAATGTATGCAGTGAGGTGGCAATATGTTTAGTTTTAGTTCATACAGAGCTATAGAATTTCATGGTTGAATTCTTTAATGTATTGTCCAGATAAAACGAACACTCATGTTCTGATATATGATTTCTATACTAACAGAACCCAATGTTTCAGAGGAAGCTACTTTATTTTTTTATTCCTAGTTTACCGGATATAATTTAATGGTCGAAAATTATGTCACCGTAAAAAGAAGTTATAATGGAAAAAATATATGTGAAAGAAAAGTCCAGCATTCTCAAATTTATAATTTTTAAGCCTATATTGTTTACGTGTTTGTCATTATTTATATATTTGCTATTTGTCACAAGTTTTCATGAAATTATATAATTTTAAACTTAATTATATATTAAAGACTTTTCTTATATATATATATATATATATATATATATATATATATATATATATATATATATAGACACATACAGGTGCCCATCAAGTTCCTGTGCACATTAAAAAATTTATAACTTTATTTTGTCTTTACGACAGAAATAATTTGTAAAAGGGATTAGAAAAAAGTTAATCTAAATCTTTTAAGGTTTATTGAAAGGTTTTTCACATGTTCTCCATCATTAGCAAAACATAGGATAATACGATTTTGCAGTTCACGGAAAACATTTGCCAACTGATTTACTGTAATGCCTGAAATCAAATTAGTTGTTTTAGCTATACTTAAAACTAGGTACATTAAACATTATAAAATTTTTACAGCTTATTTCTATTGCAAAGACAAATAAAGTTATAAATTTTTAAAGTGCACACTAACTTTATGGACACCCTGTATATATATATATATATATATATATATTTATATATATATATATATATATATATATGTATATGTATATATATGTATGTATCTTTCTTCCTTATATTATTAATTTCCCCTTTTTCTTTACTCCTTTTTTCTCATATCATTTCCGGTGAGTTGACCGATTAAATAAATCTATGTCTGATCCTTAACCCCCCTCCTCCTCAATATTAAGTATTGTAATAAAAATAATAATTAAAATAAATTTTAAAACTCTCATTTCCCTCACTAAATTCTATGTCTCTCACACTATCCCTCACCACCCTCTATGATACTTTATATAAGCTTAATACTGCCCTTCAAAAGTGTAAAATCTAAATTAATTTTTCACCCTTGAAAGTGAAGGCCGAAGGTCCTGAGAAAAATAAAATCTCTGGTGAAATAAATTATAACTAATGGAACCTTAAAGTCGTCTGTTTTTCTTTCAACTCAATATATATATATATATATATATATATATATATATATATATATATATATATATATATATAGAGAGAGAGAGAGAGAGAGAGAGAGAGAGAGAGATTTACATGAGGATAGAATTCAGGTAGAACTCAATGTCCAGGACAGAGGAAGAATATAAATTAAAAGGTTCAAACACTAATATTCTGTGGTTATAATTTATTACATTGAAAATGTAGGTGCCATCAATTGGATCATGATTTCGATTCCAATATAATAAATTATAACCATGGAATATTAGTGTTTGAGCTATATATATATATATATATATATATATATATATATATATATATATTAAAAAAGAGAAAGCACAGTAAGATTTATAATCCGGTGTTCTTATTAATTATTTTCATTTTTTTAAAAAAATGCTCAATAAAATTCTGCAGAACATAAATATTATAAATTTACTAGTTCAAAAATAATGGTTCCATCGCTACCCAGGAATTACCATGTTTCAAAAACGGAAACTAAAACATTTTATTGTAGAATTAAATTAAAACACAGACAATCACATCTTGCACACCCCCAAAGAACTAAAAGTAACGTATTCTTAACCCACACTTCCCTTTCCCAGGAACTAATAAAACCAAAGAGAGAATTCTGCGACTCAGAAATCTCCCAGCCTCTATCTGGGAACAACAGAAGGAGGCCGTTTAACTAATATAAGGACTGACCAAACTTAAGGAGAAAAGACCAAACAAATGAATACTACAATTTTTTCAGAGACAGTCATTCTGATACTAAAACGCATGGACTTTTTTCTCCTCCTGCTGATAGTCATGCTGTGCGAAACTAGGCGAAGAACCTAATTGTTGTAATAATAAAACAAAAAAAAATATTAACATACAACTCAGTGTATAAGAAATATGCATATCTTACATTAATTTCAGAACTCCGAGTTTTATGGCGAAACAATTTTCAAATGCTGGAATTATTATATTTAGTTTTAAAATTACAAAAAATTAAAATAAATATCATATTTCCAGCACTTGCAAAATGCATCCACATGAAACTCGAACTTGTTCAATTAATGTAAAACAATATGTATATTTCTTAATATATATATTAAATAGCTCTGCTACTTAAGATTGAGCACAGTTTTTTTCTTGCAATATAAAGTATTTATATCTATTTGTATACGATTGTTCGCCCGTATACCTACCTATATTTAAACAATTTACCCATTCCGTTATACGCGGGCGCGCACGCACACACACACACACACATATATATATATATATATATATATATTTGCTGTTTATATGTTATTTTAATACATAAAATTTATTTAAGTTAATGCTATGTTTTTTTTTAATAAATATTAAGTACATTTACCGGCCTGAATATATAGCCCGTGAGATCAATTGACCCTTCCGAATAGAATACAGGTTCAAATTCTGTAGTAGAAAGCATATTTTAAACGAAAAGTCTCAAACATTCAAGCCGGTAATGTAATTAACACTGTTCATTTAAAAAAAAAAAGATCATTTACTTAAATAAACTGCATCTATTAAAATAACGTATAAGGAAAGTATATTAAATAATTGTCGGACTTAATCCATTTCGTGACATACACACACATATAAATATTCTAATTGATTTTATTTATTAATACGACAGATTCATATAACTTTAAACTTTTATTTTTAGTGGATAACCCTATTTGAGTAACGCTTCATTTATTTATCAAGCGGTATATTTACATTTTTCAGGTCGGAAGACGAAAATAAATGTACTATTTAATAAATACATGGAGCATCTAATCGAATATGAGTAACCATGAAAAGTAAAGTTAAAATTTATATATATTTTTTTCTGTTTATACGTTATTTTTTATAGATACTACTGTTTAAGGAAATGCTTTGTTTATAATAAGCAGTATTAAGTAGATTTATCGGGCTTAAAGTCGGAGAAATTTCATAGAAAATATGCGTCCTTCCACAGGAATTGAAACTGTACCCTAAACGGAACCGCCACATAGCCTGACGTGCTCTACCACTTATCTACAGATGAAGCATCTGGTTAATAAGCAACAACTTTCCCGTGAACTATTTGTAGCTTTAAAAATAGTGTATAAACGGAAAGTATGCTAAAATAATTGCCAGACGTATTTCATTTCATATATATATATATATATATATATATATATATATACATACAAAAACACACACACAAACAAAACACACACACACACACACATATATATATATATATATATATATATATATATATATATATATATATAGTTAAAAATAGAGAGTCAGGGAAGGCCGGCCTTCTCTGACGATCCGCTGAGGTGAAACCTTGGTAGGTTTGTCTGGCTCTCTAGGTTTAACTAGGTCTCCTCTACTTACCGTATTGAGCACTTTATTTAGTTATTTTGCTTCCTTGTATCGTTTTTTTTTATTTGGACTTTGGACTTGGTCGCTTGACGATTATTTTCAGTTAACGTACATGTTCTTAGCTCTTTCTTTTTTTATACCATTTTTTCCCTTTGGTATTGGTTTGATTATTTGCAAATCAAGACACCGAAGTTTTCCGAGCGAATATAGTTTCTTATACTCATAAGATTTTAATAATAATAATAATAATAATATATATATATATATATATATATATATATATATATATATATATATACATATATATATATATATATATATATATATATATATATATATATATATACACGACATAGTAATTCACACACATATATATATATATATATATGTGTGTGTGTGTGTGTGTGCGTGTGTGTATATTATATTGGAGAAACGAGGGAGCCGAGTTCGAATTACAGTCGAATCCATTATATTCATTTACGTCTTCATACCCATGGGAAAGAAAATAATCTTCATCTTCTCCCACGAGCTATGGATAAAGAGTAGGAGAGAATGGCTTATTGGATGGCAACTGGTGTAGGAAAAGGAAATGAAATAAAGAAAGAATGGCAGAAAATGATAACCAAAAGAAAGAAAAAGTAATTTTTCAAAAGAGATGAGGCATGAATGAAGAAAAGAAAAAGAAAATATAAACGAAAAAATGGGAGAAATGAAAAGAAAGAAAGAAAGAACTGATAAGAAAGAAAGAAACAAAGAAAGAAATAAAGAAAGAAATGGTAATGATAAAGAAAGGAAGAAAGTAGGAAGGAGAAATGTATGGCGTCCAAAGCGAAACGAAATGTTGCCAGAATAAATACAAATCCAAAGAAAGAAAAATCTGTAAGGAACTCTGCCAAATTCACTTACGTTCACGAAGAATATTTTTCGATGTAAGCCCCAAAAAGAAAACAAAATTAAATGAAATTAAACAATTACACTTGAATGCACTTGCTTTGCACTGGCCACACCCAATCATGCAATAAAAAGATAAAAAGGAAGTCTTAGATTTTGGCGCATTTCAAACATCCCCTCGCTGTTCTGTGGACTTGTACTGAATTTATCATTTTTTATCTCCCCAATCTTTAAGGCGCATCAAAAAAAACAAAAAAAACTAGAAAGATATCGGACGTGGAATAATGAAAAGACAACATTCTCGCTAAATCTGGCAGAAAGGCATGAAATATAAACGAATATTCATTTGCTTTACTCCCATTATAAAAAAAAAAAAAAAAAAACTTTTCTTGTTTTTCGGTTTAGAACTTTTGCGTTCCTGATCTTTTTACTTGCTTACTTATTTTTATTTATTCTTACTTTTTCCTTTTTTTTTTTTGTTTTTGTCTTCCTTCTTCTTTTTTTTTTTTTCTTTCTTTTCCTTGGTTTTCCATTGCTTTTCCATTGCATTTTTATTGCATTTTCTATGCTTTGCTCTTGCTTTTGTCTTCCTTCTTTGTTTCTTCCATGCTTTTTACTTGCTTTTTTTCTTGCATTTTCCTTGCTTTTGTCTTGCCTCTCCTTTGTTTTTTTCCTTGCTTTCCCTTGCTTTTTCCTTGCATTTGTCTTGCTTCTTTGTTTTTCTTGCTTTGTCATTACCTTTACTTGCTTTTTTTCTTGCTTTTTCCTTGCTTTTGTCTTGCGTCTTCTTTCTTTTTCCTTGCTTTGTCGTTGATTTTCACGTGTTTTTCCGTTCATTTTCTTGATTTTACCTTGCTTTTTTATTCCTTTTTCGAATATTTTCCTTGCTTTTTTTATCGCTTTTCTTTTTTTTTCTTGCTTTTTTTCCTGCTTTTGTCTTTCTTTTTCCTTACTTTTTCCTTGCCGGTTCTTACTTTTTCGTTGCTATTTTTTCTTATTTCTAATGAAAGGATTTTTTTTTTTAATTTCCAAGTAAGATCCATAATAACAGCGAAAAAGATTTTAAAAAGTGAGAATCAAAAAAAGGGGGAGAGAGAGAATGAGATAAGGGATAAAGCGTAAAGTTCGAACATTTACTTATCGTCGTCTTCTTCCTATACCGTGTCCCCTCAGGCCGTAAGCGATCAAAGCTCTACACAATTTCGTTTCCCTTGTAGCTCTTAATAAACTTTGTCTTTCTGTTGTTTCTTTTAAGCCCTGTTCCACCACCCAATCACTCAACATCACTAAGCATATCATGTGTTGTTTTCCTCTGTCCCTGTTGGCATCTATCTGTCCTGTGAGTATCAGATTTTCCAAGTCTTCCCTCCTCATTATGTGCCCCAGAAACCACAACTGGCTCTTTCTGATATTTAGTTTCAATTTTCTCAAAAACTTCTTCGTTGCTCATATATTCGGTCTATGATATCCGCAGCATCCTTCTATAGAACCACATATCTGTTGCATCAAGTTTTATCTTTATCTGTGAGGAGTGTCCAGCACTCACTGTCATACAGGAGAAGAGATATAACAGTTCAGGACTCATTTTTTGTTGTTTTTGGTGACATTTTTCTATTTCTTAGTAGTCTGCTTAACTTTTGGAAGGCATCTTCATCTATCCCAATGCACCTTCGGATTTTTGTGTCTCACTTTCCGTCTTCTAACACCTCACTTCCCAGAGATTTAAATGTTGGTATTTATTTGATTTTGGCATCCGATTTGCAATCTGCAATTGGACTCAACCTCTTGCTAACAAACATGCAATCAGTCTCCTTGCAGTAGATGCTTTAACCTTCTCGCTTTCCTTCACTACGTTATGTAGGATTTTTTGTAGCTTTTTATTGCTTTTTCCTTGTTTTATGATTGCTTTTGTTTTGCCTTTTCCTTGCTTTTTACTTGATTTCACCTTGCTCTTTTTCATCTTTTTCCGTGCTTTTGTGTTGCTTCTTTGTCATTTCGTTGTTTTTTCTTTGTTTTTTCTTGACTTTTCCTTGCTTTTCCTCGCGTTTTCCTTGCATGTTCCTTGCTTTTTCCTTGTTTTTTTTTCTTGCTTTTTCCTTGGTTTATCCTTGCCTTTTCTTTGGTTTTCCTTGCTTTTTTCCTGCATTTTCCATGCTTTTTTCTTTGTTTCGGGCTTGCATTTTTCTTGCATTTTTCTTGCTTTTTTCTTGCTTTTACTCGCTTTTCCGTGCATATTCCTTACTTTTCCTTGCTTTTTTTCGTTGCTTTTGTCTTGCTTCTTCTTTGTTTATCTTTACTCTATGTAGGATTTTTTGTAGCTTTTTATTGCTTTTTCCTTGTTTTATCCTTGCTTTTGTCTTGCCTTTCACTTTTGTTTGCTTTTTTTTATTGTTTTTACTTGTTTTTAATTCTTTTTTTTTTTCATGTTTTCCTTGCCTTTGTCTTCTATTTTTTTGGTTTTCGTTGCTTTGTCCTTTCCCCCCTTTTTCTTGCATGTTTTAGCTTTACTTGATTTTTTCCTTGCTTTAAACTTTTTCCTTTGTTTATCCTTCCTTCTACTTGCTTTTTCCTGCATTTTCCTTGCCTTTTCTTTGTTTTTGTCCTTGCATTTTTCTTGCGTTTTTCTTGCTTTTACTCGCTTTTCCGTACATATTCTTTATTATCCTTGCTTTTTCGTTGCTTTTGTCTTGCTTCTTCTTTGTTTATCTTTACTCTGCTTATCTTTTAGAATGCTTCCTTGTCTATTCCAATGCACCTTCGGATTTTTTTCTTTCCGTCCTTTATCAGAATTTACTTTTTGGCATTTATTTAATTTGGCATCCGATTTGCCATCTGCAATTTGGGCTCATCCTTTTGCTAACAACCAGACATTCTGGCTTCTTGCAGTTCATTCTTAAATCTTTTTTCTAGCTTTCTTTCACTAACTTATACAGAAGATTTCGTTACTTCCTTTCTGGGTCTGCTATCAAGAATATATCATCTGCATACCATACGTTATTAAGACTGTGGATGCCAATAGTTTAATCCTAATAGAACTTCTAGTTCTCTCAGAATGGTCTCACTGTATAGATTGATTAATTCCAGTGAAAAGTCTCATCTTTGTCCTCCACCCATCTCTATTTTTGTACATCTTCTAAACTGATTTTCTATTCGTATGCTGGCAATTTGCTGCCTGCTGCCAGTATAGGGTCTTGGTTATACGAATATCCTTCCCGAATATATTATAGTGAATGAGCAGCCCCAACCGATCTTTCTGGCGTCCTTTATCGAAAGCCTTCTCGTTATCTAGGCAATGTGGGTACACGTCCATTTTTATTGTTCTTTCTGATAACATCCTGAGCATAAATATCGTATTAAATTTACATATCCAGTAGGTCAGTTTATCATTCTTTCACGGAATATTGAAGCAGAAAACCCGCAAGCGTACTCTTGTAACGACAACGATATCGGACACAGCGCTCACGGAATATTGAAGCAGAAAACCCGCCAGCGTACTCTTGTAACGACAACGATATCGGACACAGCGCTCACGGAATATTGAAGCAGAAAACCCGCCTGCGTACTCTTGAAACGACAACGATATCGGACACAGCGCTCACGGAATATTGAAGCAGAAAGCCCGCCAGCGTACTCTTGTAACGACAACGATATCGGACACAGCGTTCACGGAATATTAAAGCAGAAAACCCGCCAGCGTACTCTTGTAACGACAACGATATCGGACACAGCGCTCACGGAATATTGAAGCAGAAAACCCGCCAGCGTATTCTTGTAACGACAACGATATCGGACACAGCGTCCACGGAATATTGAAGCAGAAAACCCGCCAGCGTACTCTTGTAACGACAACAATATCGGACACAGCGCTCACGGAATATTGAAGCAGAAAACCCGCCAGCGTACTCTTGTAACGACAACGATATCGGACCCAGCGTTCACGGAATATTGAAGCAGAAACCCGCCAGCGTACTCTTGTAACGACAACGATATCGGACACAGTGCTCACGGAATATTGAAGCAGAAATCCCGCCAGCGTACTCTTGTAACGACAACGATATCGGACCCAGCGCTCACGGAATATTGAAACAGAAAACCCGCCAGAGTACTGTTGTAACGACAACGATATCGGACACAGCGTTCACGGAATATTGAAGCAGAAAATCCCCCGCCAGGGTACTCTTGTAACGACAACAATATCGGATACAGCGCTCACGGAATATTGAAACAGAAAACCTGCCAGCGTACTCTTGTAACGACAACGATATCGGACACAGCGTTCACGGAATATTGAAGCAGAAAACCCGCCAGCGTACCCTTGTAACGACAACGATATCGGACACAGCGTTCACGGAATATTGAAGCAGAAAACCCGCCAGCGTACTCTTGTAACGACAACGATATCGGACACAGCGTTCACGGAATATTGAACCAGAAAACCCGCCAGCGTACTCTTGTAACGACAACGATATCGGACACAGCGTTCACGGAATATTGAAGCAGAAAACCCGCCAGCGTACTCTTGTAACGACAACGATATCGGACACAGCGTTCACGGAATATTGAAGCAGAAAACCCGCCAGCGTACTCTTGTAACGACAACAATATCGGACACAGCGCTCACGGAATATTGAAGCAGAAAACCCGCCCGCGTACTCTTGTAACGACAACGATATCGGACACAGCGCTCACGGAATATTGAAGCAGAAAACCCGCCAGCGTACTCTTGTAACGACAACGATATCGGACACAGCGTTCACGGAATATTGAAGCAGAAAACCTGCCAGCGTACTCTTGTAACGACAACAATATCGGACACAGCGCTCACGGAATATTGAAGCAGAAAACCCGCCCGCGTACTTTTGTAACGACAACGATATCGGACACAGCGCCTTATCTGGGCTTATGAAATCGTTAGCTTAATCAGCGAAGATGGGCAATATGTCTTATGATCCGATATGACAACGTTCCAGTTTCCCTCAGCTAATGATACCGCAAGAAACCATAGAATAAAAAGCTATCGTGCATGTTGTTAGCGGCTCCATAACGTTTTTTTGGTTCTGTGTTCAAAGGGGTCGATGGATTTGTTCCATTGGTCGCTGAAACGTAACATTAACCGTTGACAGCAAAGTTGCACACTTTTGTAGATACCATAATTAGATAATTACGTTTTAATTGATGCCATATAGATTCAAAGCGTTTCAACTTTATAAATGGCTGTCCCTGAACCTTCTTACTTTGGACACGTCCGTATATTACGCTATTATTCTTCCATTAAGTTTGTTTGAGAAGGCGATCGTTATTATATTTGACAAATCCAAGCAACGGGCTTGGATCGAATTCAAGTACAAAATTTTCGTAGAGATAACTCTCCCAAGCGTTTCGGTTAATTCAAGGTTTTTGTCAGTATCCCAACATGGCATTACAACTAGTCCTATAAAACACACCTTAGAATGAGTACGAATTCTCTACAACATACATTAGCATGACTACAACTCCTACACAACACATGTTAAATGAATACTACTGCGATAAAACAAACCTTAATATGACTACTACTATACAACACACATTAAAATGTCTACTACTACTCTTACTACGACTACAACACACATTAGAATGACTACTACTGCTATTACTAATACCACTATGCAACACATATTAGAATGTCTACTACTACTACTATACAACACATTAGAATAACTACTACTACTATTATTACTGTACAACACACATTAAAATGACTACTATTACTACTATAAAACACATCAGAATGAATACTACTACTACTACTACTACTACTACTACTACACAACAAATATAATGACTACTACTACTATAACTACTATACAACAGACAATATAATGACTACTGCTACTACTACTATTACTAGTACTAATACTACTATAAAACAAAAATTAGAATGATTACTACTTTTATACAACACACTTTAGAATGACTACTACTCCTATGCAGAATACCCTAGAATTACTACTACTTATAGTGATTTTCTAAACTTATAGCTTTGGTGCTGCATACTTTCGGCACAAAGCCGAAAGTATGGAACACCCAGTGAGGATCGAACTCACTACTCAGTCTTAATTGCTCTAGCTAGATAAGCCTGCTAACCATTACAACACGCTGAGGTGCCCTAAATGACTACTACTTATATACAACACACGCTAGAATATAAGCACAGATAATATACTAACAACAAACCCCTTGAAAATTGCTAATCAATTAGCCGAAAATACCTACTCTAATAATCGCTATGTGACATGTGCCATTGTGCATATATGCCGTAATTACCCATGTATAATGCCCATTTTTCCTAAAAAAAATAATAAGCACAATTAAGGATGCGTATTATGCACAGCTACAAAAGTATTTTAAAAAAATTGCCGTTTCATTGGTCAGTTTTAGTTGCGAAATGACGACTCACAACAAACATACGACAATTTGACACTAACATTCGGCGATTGCGACCCCATAAGGATGTCAAATACAATCATATATACCTAACAATACTTACGAATATAAAATAAAATAAAAATTATCATAAAACTAAATTACAATAATATTATTATTAGATTAGAAAACGCTAATGAAATTGGGGAGGTACAATTAGTACCAAAAAAAGAGTGCGTATTATGCGAGAGTAGAAGCATTTTTACACACTTTCAGCACAATTTTAGGGGGTGTATTATGGATAAAGGCGTATTATACATCGGGAATTACTGTGATTTAGTTCATAGCATTGTTATTTCTAGTTAAATTGGGATAAACAAAAAGAAAAAAAATCAAAAGTTTTATTTTTAAATGTAAAGTATTCAACAATGTAAATATAATTTTTTTATTTCATGTTCAATGAGATTACTTGAAACAAAATATAATTAATCTGTCTGTCTATATTTCGGAGATGAATTATGCAATTTTTTTCGTCCACTGGGGTAGATTGTTCTAGTTCCACGTGCCATACCTCTTCCGGTTGACGTAATAAAGGATTCAGGTCGAAATTCCAATCACCTGACGAAGGTCGGAGGGTACAACGGACAAAACTTCGTGAATATGGCGACGAAGATGAGGTCAACAGTCCGAATAATGTAAGTAGTGTGAATGAATCTGTATCGTTTTCAAGAACTGAACCAAATCATTGTGATCTTTACATAGGTTTCTACGAGAATTATTACAGACAGTCATAGTTTTAAGATCATGTACAAATTCACACAAATACTATATCTAAATCTAGAAATCATTTATAGTTACTTGAATAGTTATTTAGAAAATAAAACTTGGCTAATCATGGAAA